GGGGGTTGATCTCAGTCCATTATATTCAACAAATTGAGATCTCTCATTGAAGTAACTTTTTACCCATTCTAATGCCAGGCCATGAATACTGTGGTGATAATACAGTTGAACCTCTATTAAGCAGCCACTCTCGGGGACAAGGCAACTGGCCAGTTAATAGAGGTTCACTCGAAAACAACATTGGACGTGGGCCAGTTTTCAGTTTATCAAATATAAGTACAAACAAATGCAAGTGGAGAAAAAGTAGACCAATGATAGTTATAACACCGTCCATGACGTTACCAAAAGCCAAAGAAACAACTGCGCATACAGACGCAATGTGTCTGTCAACCCAACACTGGCTCGTGTGCTGTACAAACTAAAATGCTTTGAGACTTAAAAAGCTTTTAAAGGAAATGCTTCTGGTATCAAATAGTATGCTTTTTATGTCATTTTCAGTTAAAATCAACTATTGAAAATTTAAAAAATCGATCTAACAATAACAAGAACAAAGAATTGGTGGACATCGTCATCTGAAACTAACAGAAAAAAACTAATAATGGTGCTAAACTACTGCTTTGTCTTCATGACTGTCCTTTTTGATTGTTAATAAATCTGGTCATGGCAAGTGTTGTCAGTCTAGAATTATTTTACCTAAAAAGAATAGAATTCCAATAAACACTGGGTACATTCGCTATGAACAAAAAGCCTGATTTCAATTACTTAAAATAGCCTTGGATATGCGTTTACCCCCGTGGGGTTTGGAGCTTCAGTTTACAAATTATATCNGGGTTGATCTCAGTCCATTATATTCAACAAATTGAGATCTCTCATTGAAGTAACTTTTTACCCATTCTAATGCCAGGCCATGAATACTGTGGTGATAATACAGTTGAACCTCTATTAAGCAGCCACTCTCGGGGACAAGGCAACTGGCCAGTTAATAGAGGTTCACTCGAAAACAACATTGGACGTGGGCCAGTTTTCAGTTTATCAAATATAAGTACAAACAAATGCAAGTGGAGAAAAAGTAGACCAATGATAGTTATAACACCGTCCATGACGTTACCAAAAACCAAAGAAACAACTGCGCATACAGATGCAATGTGTCTGTCAACCCAACACTGGCTCGTGTGCTGTACAAACTAAAATACTTTGAGACTTAAAAAGCTTTTAAAGGAAATGCTTCTGATATCAAATAGTATGCTTTTTATGTCATTTTCAGTTAAAATCAACTATTGAAAATTTAAAAAAATCGATCTAACAATAACAAGAACAAAGAATTGGTGGACATCGTCATCTGAAACTAACAGGAAAAAACTAATAATGGTGCTAAAATACTGCTTTGTCTTCATGACTGTCCTTTTTGATTGTTAATAAATCTGGTCATGACAAGTGTTGTCAGTTTAGAATTATTTTACCTAAAAAGAATAGGATTCCAATAAACACTGGGTACATTCGCTATGAACAAAAAGCCTGATTTCAATTACTTAAAATAGCCTTGGATATGCGTTTACCCCTGTGGGGTTTGGAGCTTCAGTTTACAAATTATATCATTGGTTTTTGAGACCGACAATGCAAGTTCCTGAAACCTGTTATGACTTGGAAGTTCCGTATGAATACAAGTTCGAAGGCGACAAATTTTCAATTACTTGGCTCCAGATGAAGCTTACAAGGAGGGTTTTGAAACCAGCTAAAGAAACAGGCACCACTTGTTTAGCATTGTATTTTATTCCCATGACCACCACAACTGAAAACTGTTTTGATCAAGAGTGTAGATACGACAGACCCAAGGTCACAGTCAGACATCAATAGCTACCACTTCAAGTGATTCCACGCTGTGATTGTTTCAATTAAATACTGCTGAAAATGTGTTTTTACATTGGCATTCTTTTATCTTCATCTGGCTAAAAACGTCCACTTCAAATCTTCCTGGCCGTTTCATACAGGTATAAAACAAAACAAAATCACCCTTGGGATGACAAGAAGCTGGCCATGGCCACTAAATAGAGCTGGCCGTTGAATAGAGGTTTTCATTATAGTGTATAGCTGACAGTTTTTCCAGGACTTTGGCCGCTGGCCACCAAATAAAGGTTGGGTGCTTAATAGCCACTTAATAGAGCTTCAACTGTAATAATAATAGTAATAACAATAACAATAACAATAACAATAACAATAACTACAATAACAATCGCAATCACAATCGCAATCATAATAATTATAAAAATTATGTAAGGAAAGAAATAACTTAAGAAAAGCACTTAAATAAATTCTTTCCATTTTCTGTTGAAATTGTCAGTGTTTTTATTTTTAGCTAATAATTGTTGTAGAGTATCCAATTTGTTCTTTACTACACTTTGCTCTTTTGCATGGACAATTCAGGACTTAATGAGTGGTTCCGAATGGAGAGTGTGAAGTCAGCAAACTTCACTTAATGGCAGCAATAAGGCTAATATCTATAATGCTGCGTAATAATAAATAGGCGAATGACATAAAGATCGTGTTCAAGAAAAATAGTGACTAGGATATCAGTGTTCTCCAAAAGTTTTGTGCTATCCAGATAATTGTTGGTGTTGATCTGTTGAGAAGGCAAACGTTAGGTAAAATGTTCATACGAATAACACCAAAACAATTCCTCTAGAAGAGAATGCTAATTTTAATAAGTGATACATTTGTTTGAGATAGTGATATTTTCATACTGTAGATGAGAAAGTTCATTTTAAACTTGTCTACAGTGTTCTGTAGCATGGTTTTGGTTTATATGCATTCAGGAAGACCTTTGATTCAGACCTTCTTGCAACCCGCTGGACAATATCATTGCTTCTAAGTCATTATCACCCTCTTAACCATCGGTTGAGTCTTCTTGATGCTTATTCCTTACCACTTTGATCTCTTTAAAGGTGTGTTTTGGTTCTAAGTACAGAATTTTGCCATCTAGAAGAAAACCACGACACACGACGCCATCTTTATTTTCGATGTTGTGATAAAAAAAACAAAACTTTCCCCTACCCCCTAGAATATGCAAAGGACAGAAAAAAAAGGTACCAAAGAAATCTCTGGGGAGCGGGCAAGAGGTAATTTCTTAGTATTTTCAAAGGGCCACCTTGCTTACCCTGCAACAGAGTCCATATATGCTACCCCTACAGGAAGTTAAAGGAGTTAACAATGAAAACTTGAACAGACTCAGTTACGGTCTTTTAGTATGTCATCATATTGTAACCAGCTGATGAAAATATTGACATCTGAGGGCCATGTTTTCGATCAAAAACTAGCATTTTGCTTACTTAAGTGTCTTTCCCAATATTCTAACCTCAATAGTACTTTAAACTAGAAATGACAATACTTAGTTTAAATGGCAATAAATAACCCATTACAGTGACTTGTCTCAATGATTTTCTCCAATACATGGCATGCTACAAGTACATGGTGCTATTTTCATGACCCTTATTTGGCAACAGCATTGCAACTTAATGTAGCTGTGAAATGCAACAACAATATCAATAGACCATGCGACATGAGAATAAAGAACAGGTTGAAATAAAGAAATCTTCCCTCACCATTTCTTTTAACCAGAATATTTTTGCTTTTTAAGTCACGATGTGCAATTGCAGGTTTGCCCTGTGTGCCAACAATCTCAATGTGTAGGTGAGCAAGTCCACTAGCAATTGACACAGCCAACTTAAGCATGGAATGAACATCCAGGGTAACAAGCTGAAGGTAATCATACAAAGATCCCTTTTCCAAGTAATCTGTTACCAACCACAGCTGTGTCCAAGCACCATTATCTTTATTGTCTGCTGCAACAAACCCTGACAACAAAATAAATACAAAGCAGGTTAAAAGGAAAAATCTTATTAAAAAATAGAAAGTCCAGTTTTAGAACGATTCACTACACCTTTAATTGCAAATCAAGAAAATTTCAACAGCACATGATTTCATTTTTACTTCATTTTCCCTGCAAGCTCCCTGGTGGGTACCACCCTATTCTTGACAGGATCCCAGTTTTGCCTGATAATAATACTCCCCAAATCTCAATTTGTACAATTTTTGTCAGTCATGATNGATCCCTTTTCCAAGTAGTCTGTTACCAACCACAGCTGTGTCCAAGCACCATTATCTTTATTGTCTGCTGCAACAAACCCTGACAACAAAATAAATACAAAGCAAGTTAAAAGGAAACAATCTTATTAAAAGATAGAAACTCCAGTTTTAGAACGATTCACTACATCTTTAATTGCCAATCAAGAAAATTTCAGCAGCACATGATTTTATTTTTACTTCATTTTCCCTGCAAGCTCCCTGGCGGGCACCACCCTATTCTTGACAGGATCCCAGTTTTGCCTGATAATAATACAACACAAATCTCAATTTGTACAATTTTTGTCAGTCGTGATGATTTGGACCATGTGTGTCCAGTAGTGTCACCATAACACGCAAATACATTAACAAAGTTTTTGATCTTTATGTCAAATATTAACCGTGGGAAAAGGCAAATTTCATTGGCTGCTGGATTTATTTGACTATCTTTGCTGACATTACACAGAAACATTAGCCGGAATCCATGGACTGAACTGACTCTGAACCAAGGGATGGCAATGAAAATATGGGTGTAATAAATGACAACCGAATACCCGTAGCTTTTATTTATCAGCAAAAAAACAACTGGTAGCCCAGCATTAATACGGCAGCTGAGTTTTCATGTGCTTACACCTTGCAACACTGTATGAAATAGTACACTTTTTTCCGATAGTTTTTCTCCTCAAGAATGAAGTTTCAATGAAATTAACTAGAACCAATGTAGCTTTCTGAGCTGGTGTGAATTTTTGGAAATTTGAGGAGTGTCACCCAAGAATCAGGGAAATTCTACAGGAAAATAACTCACAATTTATTCTGGGCTTTAAGCTTATACTTAATATGTTATAACAGTTCAGACTGTCATTCTTAATAATGCCAACTCCAAACATTATGAACATTCATGAATTTCAAATTATGTGCAGCCCACTGTTATATACATGTACTTCAGTGAAACTAGAGACATCTATCTGTCTGGTTTCTGACGTGATGGGTGTAAATCTATGTATTGTATTTTGAAATTGTGCAGAGAAACCGTCTTAGTCTGATGCAAATCCCTACCAAGAGGACTAAAGAAAGACACAGAGACACAAGTAAGTCACTTTGTTTTATTCCATCAATTTGAAAAGGCTGTAAGGTGCAAAGGTATGATCCCCATCGGGTGTCACAGAATTTTAGCTAATTCTCGGCATGCAACAATTGTCTTTTTTTACTTTTCTGAAAATGGGTCATTTTGGCCTTTGTATAATTTTCATGGTAGTTCACTTGTGAAAAAATAATAACTGATATGCAGGTTATTTTACTTACTGATTTTAGACAGCTATGAAAGGACCAAACTCACATTACATTAAATGCAAGGTAATAATATAGATTTAGCCAAGCCTAAAAGTGGAGCTCTTGATTATAATTAACCAATCAAAGGAGATCTATGGCCAAACTCATGGATAAAGTAATCTAGAGATGAAACATATTGGTGAACTTGCAATAACTGGCGTATTATTAAAGGCTGTTAAAACAGGCCGGGTTTGTACCACGCAAAGTCGCACTTAATTCATGAAGTGTAGGCTTTTCTTGTTGGCTTTTGTTGCACACATATTTCAAAGATATATGTCCAGAATAGCCAGGGTGGCAAAATTGCCACTGAACATGAAGTGGTAAAGGCTAAGGGTTCTTGGGTCAGAGACACTCCTGCCTAAACAATCATAGGGTACTCCCCCACCCCAGATCTTGATGTTGATGTTTGTCTGCCTGCTGGGAAAATTTGCATGTATTCAAGTCGTACGAGCTTGCAAACGTTTTTCATTGCATTTTATTCAAATCTATAGGTAAGGTTTCTTATGAGACAGCACTTCTTTTCCAATGTGGAACTGCTTGTCTCTATATATATTGCACGTGAAATACATCAAAATAAGTTGCCTCTTTTGCAAGCATTTTCAGTGTTGATCCGAAAAATCTGTTGACCCATAAATATGTGTTCCAATAAGCTCACAAGGGGTTTCTTCCCTTTTGTCATCTTTTCAATCAGGAAGCAAAAGTGTAAACAAAAGACAGGGTAAAAATCATTTAAGCTTATCACAATCAAGTATTTGGGAATTTCTTTCCAAGTTTATGTGCATTTCACATCCCACTTAGAGTTCAGATCAATGTACTAAAATAAGCACGACAAGTATAGAGAACACAACTTTAATCTAAACTTAACTTGATGTTGGTTGAAAGTGGACAACTCAACATGAAAGTGCTATAAACTGCAAAGCAGAGAACAAAGGTTCTGCTTGATTGAACATTGGATCTCACAGGAGATCTAATCAGCCAAACTTGAAAAGTAAAATGATAATAAGTCAAAGACTACTGCAAGACTGACACAATGTCCTACATTTAAAACAATATTTCGGCTGGCCTCAGGTTTAGATGTTACTAAAACACAAAAATTAAATTACAGTATTATATAATGGTGCCGATGTTTGTTCTGTTTTCAATAGCTGTTTCGTTCATTAAAATTTTTTCGTTTCGCACAGGTAAGTTCATTAAGGTCGACGCACAAGACACATTCTCATTAAAGCTTACCACATTAGCATGAGATTTAGTTCAGGTCACTTTCCAGCAAACAAATGCTCATCTCCTGGTAATTTTTAACGCCTGGACGGGTCAAATGCTTATGAAATTGAGCCTTTAAGTTGGCCATAGTACTACTTCGAACATTTGAAGTCAACTCCACTTCAGTTTAGCTAAAGATCTAATATTAATGGTCGTGTAAAAGCTACAAAATCATCAATATTCGGGCTGGCACGATGCACGCATTGAGTATTATTAAATTCTCAACCTTGGATAATGCAATTCTAGCTTTCTGATTGGTTCACTGCATCTCGGTTACCAGCCCTTATACCTGCGTTTGACCTTATATGAAAATGAATGCGGTAAATGTCGCTCGGCATAAACTTTTTCGCGTGAAGCTAAGTTTCGTCGGATGAAAAAAAGCAGATTCGGTGATCTATCTACGGAAGAAATACAGGAAATTATGGACAATGTCGTCCCAGTAACAGCAAAAAAGGCACAAAGTTCGAGATTAGCTTATTTAACGGTACGTATGTACGTTAAGTCCGGTTTCCCTTAAAAGTTGCAAAATTAAATATGACCGTCGAGATTTTACGCGTTCATGAAGATTATGTGACAAAAACAATGTTTACCTTAACGTTAACTGAATGGCTTGCTAGTCCTGGTGGCACCAAATTTTCAAAACCGATTGAAGTGTTTTTACACGTCTGCGAGGAAGAAAGATGGCACGTATTGTAAAAGTTCATCGATTAAATCCATTAAAGCCGCCATTGATCATTTCCTTCGCTTGCCGCCACACAACAAACCGTTTTTCACTATCTCTGACCAGGCAAATAAATTATTAGACCATTTGTAAAAGGCCTCAGGAAAACAGGCGTCATTTCCGGCGTAGTCCGTAAGAAACCAATTTCCAATGAGCAGATGAGGAAACTGTTCGACTTAAGCAAGCTCGGATCGGCCGAGAGCAAACATCCCGCACAGCTACAGAGGACGACCTAGTTTTATCGCGGTCTCTTTTTTGGCCGATGAGGACGAGAGAATCGACGACAGCCTAGCGCCAACATTTTCGATGTCCTTGCGAAAAACACCTCAAGGAGTTGAGTGTTTTGAGCTGATTCGAAGTAAGGCCATGCCCTTTTTTTTCGTTTATTGTAGAATGCGTTTGCTGATTTTGGGTCAGTCTGTCGGAAAAGGAAAAGAAAAAACAAAAACAAAATTGGAAAAGGAGTCTGGAGCTAGGAGGCCCGGTACCTCAGCATAATGTCCGTGGAGCCTGGAAACAACAAGGTGTGGTTACAAAGTCA